AGAGAGAGAGAGAGAGAGAGAGAGAGAGAGAGAGAGAGAGAGAGAGAGAGAGAGAGAGAGAGAGAGAGAGAGAGAGAGAGAGAGTATAGATAAGTCTCCAACCTCACAGCTGGCGTCATGGTCCTTCCATCGATAGGATGAGCAAAATCGAATGAATCTTCCGCTAGAACATGGAAATATACACTACCTGGTTGAATATGGCAGACACCTGCCGGACAACACTTTCTGCAATCCGTCGCCCGGTGCAAAACAAACCCGCTTGCTTTCCAGGGAGGTGAAGGACGAAGCGGGAAGCCGCAACCAAAAAAGACCCTGTTCATAAAGCAGCGCCAACACCAACCCAAAAAAAAAAACAGCCATAAACAAAAAACTGCACTGGGCCCAAGGTGCACCGGGCCCGCGCGGGAAAAAGGTCTCAGGGGTCGCGTCATGCGAGACCCGCTGTTAGGGAAGGGGTAAAAAAGGCCTGAAAGGTCGTCCTGTCCTGATTCGACTAACTCAGGGCAACGGAACTGATGTTCCTTCCAGAAAACTGGCACTCCTTCCAGGCCCCACATCCCACCTTTTGCTGCTTTCAGCCAGGTTCCTTGTGTTTTATGCTTTTTTGCACGGTTGCTCAACTCGAGGGCGCGCGTGGGACTTGGCCTCCTGGGGTCAGAGGTATTTCTACTTCTTGGGTTCCACCGGAATTCGAACACAGTTCTATGTCTCAACAGTTGATAGGCGTATCAACTCTCGGGGCATTGGTTGTTAGGTAAGCATGTACCTGGCGCAAGGGCTGCTAACTTTGGGCATTGCGGCCGATAATTTATGTGTAAGCGGGTAACCTGTCCGTCAAAATTAGTGAAAGACGAAACGGACGAATTGGGAGAATTGGATCATTTCGGAGGGCAATTGGGAGAGCCAACCAGGAAATCAGCGAACTGCGAAACCGGACCATGAAGACGGGCATTTTGTCATGAAACTCAACCCATGATGGTGGAGCTGGGGAGGGTGAATACAGAAACGTGCAAACTTTTGAGAGGGAGACTCGAATTCATCGAGTTCATCGAGTTCCCGCCAGGTTGTGTAACGCCGTCTGCGAGCGTCTTTATCCGCACCACGCGTGGGAAGAGCTGAGCAAAACGGAATTGCTGATCGGCTAACGGCGCACGACTCCCCGCTCCCCGCTTCCCGCGCCACTCTCCTGTTCTCGCGCTGAGGATCGACTGCCGTAGTGGAACGTGACCCTATGCGGAGTACATGGCGCTGCTCACCTCTCGTGTGCGAGAAAGAACTAAGAGGGGTAGCTATGCCGCCCTAGCTCCCCTTGAGATAGGCGCAGTTGACCGCTGCGTGAGGGCTCTACCTTTGCGGGTTTGTTCTCCCCATTGCTGGTTGCGTATTGTGTACTCCACAGGACGCCAAAGTGCGAGAGAGGAGAGGGAAGAATTCTACGGATCAGACTGTCCATAACGACGAGAGAGGAAAGGGGCAGTGTGCAGTGGGTGGAAGAGCAGGCGGTGGTGTGTTTCTTTGTCGGGTCAGTTCGTTGGGTAGCGGCGGGGCTGGGTTGTTGGCGCTACGGAGAAAGTAGTGGCGGTCAATCGTTTCTTTGGCTATGGCTGACGGGGGCGATCAGGAAGGCTGCGGTGTCGGCGTTCACGCAAGCGATGAAGATGGTAGGGAGGTGGAAGGAGGGGAACTGCTTTTCTGTGGGAGTACGGATGCGGGACTGTGGATGAAGAAGTGCGAGTCCCTGGGCGAGGATCGCGCAACAGGATTCCCGTTCATTCTGGGACCTGCGAGGCTGGCGGGCATGAAGGGCATTAAGGTCGTCCACGTGGCAGCAGGTTGTGCGTCCTCGCATTGCGTGGCCGCGGACGCTGGTGGTCGGTGCTTCGCCTGGGGCCATAACGACAACGGGCAGCTGGGGCTGGGAGACGTTTCGCCGCGCGACGTGCCCGTGCAGGTCTCCTCTCTGTCGATGGTAAGGGTCATAAAGGCGGCGGTGGGGCGTCATCACACGGTGGTTGTGAGCGCTGACGGGTCCTCCTACAGTTTTGGTCAGAATAAGTTCGGCCAGCTCGGGACGGGTTCTGCAGGGGGCCAGATGGAAACGAAGCCCGTGAAGTCGCGCGTTCAAGCCGCTTTTGATGTCGCGTGCGGCGCGGAGTTTACTCTCTGGCTTACGAATGTAGGTCTTCTGTCTGCCGGTCTTTCCCAATATGGGCAATTGGGGGACGGCAAGGATCGCGAGGACAGCGATAACGCGTGTGGAGCAGTCAGTCTGATCTGCGAACCGCAGCCTATGCCAAGTGTCATCTCCTCATTCGTGGGGAAGAGAATAACCAAGGCGGCGTGCGGGATCAACCATAGCGTGGCGGTAGACTCTGAAGGGTATGTTTACACGTGGGGATTTGGCGGCGATGGGAGATTAGGACATGGAGAGCAAAAGGACGAGTGGGCGCCGAGGATGTTGGACGCGTTTACGGGAGCCAATCGGGTGCCAAGCAACGCTTTGCTGGGAGCGGGAGGTGCTTTCTCCGTTGTTTCGGCAGCGGGAGGTGAGCTTTACATCTGGGGAAGAGTGAAAACGGAAGCGGGAGATAGCGTACTTTTTCATCCTAATAGAGTACTTGTCAACGGATGGACGATCCATAGCTTAGGGTGCGGATCTACGACAACTCTCGCGGCGGCAGAGTCGTGTTGCATAAGCTGGGGGGCGGGCCACTGCGGAGAGCTCGGCTATGGCGCTAACGAACCCAGGTCGTCGGCGGTGCCGAGGAAGATAGAGTCGTTGGAGGGATTGCATATTCACAGAGTGGCGGCAGGGCAATCGCATTCTCTCTTCATCGTCGACGTGGAGGGTGATGCGCGGGAGAAGCTGGAGAAGCTTCCTGTCTTGGAATCCAAAGTGACCAAGGGTACGTATATATATTATATTATATTATATTATATTATATTATATTATATTATATTGTGACGATATATTATATTATATATTATATATACATGCTCTGTTTGACTATATATATGCGCATATCTATGTATGTGTTTTGAAGGGGTCGTCACCGTTGTCAAAACACTTTGTATGTTTTTTTTTTTGTGTGTGTGTGTCTGTGTCGTGGAGGTGGAGGCGGGGGAAAGTGGGAGGGTGGGGGTACGATCTGTACTTTCCTAATTCGACTATGTTTACTTAGTTTTGTGGGGCTCGAGAGAGATTATTTTTTGCTTTAGTTTCGTTCGGTTCTTTCTCTCGTTCCTTTCCGTCTGCTCCCTCTGCCACCTCTTTCTCTCCGTCGTTCGTCCTTCCATTTCGTTCACACACGTGTTCCCTCCCTTCGTCTCCTCTTGATGATCTACTCTAACTGCAAAGGTTTTCCGCACGCATAGGTTTGCCGCCAAATTCGTCCAGTGACGAGAGGGAAGTGTGTGGACGAAGCACTTATTTTGGCGCTAATGTTCTTGCATGGGAAAATTGAAGAAGGGACGCCAAGCAAACGAAAAACAACGCACTACAAATAAATACATACACATTTCACGATAAACATCTAATTTGCAGGCAACTTACTGTAAAATCGTACTGTAAAATCGGTGAGGCAAATGTAAGTTGGGAACATGATGATTTCTATCTTCTCCGTCACTGGGCAACCACGGGTGCGGCTTTTCAGGGGCTAGGCCAGACTGGGTGGGAAAGACGGTGATGGGGATCGCGGTTGTTAATTAGCATGTCATTCACTACATGCTATGCGGGGAACCAACCCTAGCGGTGCGTACATTCGGACTGTTCGTATGTATGTATTGTGCCGGTGCTCCCAAGTGTTAAGATAGGGTGGGCCAAAAGGGAAACAGGAATTGGCAGCAGCAGTTGTTATGCTTGCGCGTTTTAGCCCTCGTCGTCTAGTGTGCGGGCGACATTATGGCGGAGTGGTTACAGTAGCAAGACGGTTGTGGCTAGAAAGAGCTCTGTCCGTACCTTTCCTCACTCTGAACATCCCCTATGATATCTAGACATAGCACTCTTGAAGTTGCCCGACGAAGACGGTGTGGTGATTGTATGCTCTCCCGCGGCGAAACACGCTTCTTCGGTCCTTGTCTCCGGACAGCGTGCCTCCTGTCGTGGTGAATGTTTTCAGGATATGGTCGCCCGAATGACTTGCGTTTGTTCTGTGTGTGTTTGGCCCTGTCATCATCCGCTCTTTCCGTTCCGTGCCTTCCGTGTTCAAATTGAGACACCTAAACGGAAACAAAATCAATCTATGTTCTTTCCTTTTCGTTTTTTCGTCCGTGTTCCAACTGAGCTACCTAAACATATACAAAATCAAACTATGTTCAATTCAGGAAATGTCATTCAAAGATTTCTATGTACAGCTGCTGCGTTAGCCCCTAACGCGTGCCTCCCTCACATATTGTCATGCTGTTTCTCCGTCTCCTCGCCTCGTTTCCTGTATCCTTCTTCCTTAGTAGGGTGCAAACGGGCTTTTAAGAAGCAGACCGGGGGGGTGGTGGTGGTGCACGTGCCGCTCTACTACGCGAACGTGAACAACCTTGCACCCAGGGAAATGAGAACAAGAAGGGGGGAAAGAAAGAGAAGATGAGGGCGCACTATATTTAGCTCTGTTTGTCTCCCTCGCTCTCTGTCTCTTGCTTACTCTCTCTCTCTGGTGCCCTTTTTGTAGGCAAAGCTGCTCTTAACCCCTAACCCTTGTTTCCCGCATACACTCAAGTTGTTGCTCAGTAGGAAGCAGACGGGTGATTATGCACTTTATGGTTTAACTAGACAAACGTGGCCAAGCTTGCACCCTGTGAAAAAGTTAAATCGATAAAAGTACGAGAAGAAAAAGGTGGAGTTGCAAACAGTAAAAGCGTAAAAGTGCAGGAGAGGAAAAACGTGAAGCAAAAAAAAAAAAAAAGGGGTAAAAAATACAAAAGAAATTAAAGAGTGAAAAAGGTAGAAAATAAATTAAAAAAGATAAAGTGAAAGGGAAAAGCAAAACAAGTTGAAAAAGAAAGAAATACGTGTGCATTCATTCCCGTTGCATCTACTCTGCTCTGTCTGTCTGTCTCTCTCTCTCTCTCTCTTTTTTCTGGAGAGGATGGTCTTCCCTGTCTCTTATACACATCTAGATGTGTATAAGAGACAGGGCCCTGGCTGTAAGCCAGGGCAGATGAAGGTCC